TTTTTCTACTGAAAATCACCTTAAATAAAAATGTAGATAAGAACCCAGTTCTTCAAATCCTCGTGAAGGTCTCCATCAGCAACAGTGTGGCTAACTAGTAGCTATAGATGGCTTCACTCTTGAACAAAACGCACTCCATAACTCTCCCTGCTACATCACAGGCGGATGGGAACAACATCCAAATGGATGACCCTCTAAGTGCAACCTTCTGCCAGCTCACTCAGTAAATCTTCMGCAGACCTTTAAAACTGACATAACAATTTTGAATGGAAGCAAGGACCTTGGAAGACCAGATTTGAGATTCAGCAGCAAGAGCAGGAGGCTGCCCTGACCTGAAGTAATTGCTGTGATAGAAATTCTGAGCAGATATGAGAAAAAAATATCCCTCTTGTGYGGATGGTGCAGTGCTGAGGCGCCGGTGCAGTGCTGAGGCAAGGGCAGGGCAAGGAAACTCCCTCCACAAAGACTTTCCAAATGCAGGAGAAGAAGGGGAGTCCCAACTACCTCATCCAGTTCTGTAGCCAGCCTTGTTGCAAGCCCCTGGGGACTGGACTGGAGACCACCAGGTCCCTGCCAGTCTGAAGGACTCCGAGGTCGCTGTTTGGAGCTGCGGGTGACAGGGAAGGGGAGGGTGGCAGTGCCTTCTTGTGGTGAAAGCGCCAGCGTGGCCTGCCCCAGCCACCCCGACAAGGCCCACGGCGGCGAAGGTGGCTGGGGCTGGCAGAGCCAGGCTGCCCAAGCCAGCGATGGAACTGGGTCTCCTGGAGAGGCTCCTGCTGTGCAGGAAGGCAAGGATCATCCTCCARCTGAGGAGAGTGTGGACTAGGACATGAGAGAGGGAGATCAGGGCCCATGAATGGCCATGTGAAGGCAGATGCAGAAACAGAGCGGGAGGAATGAAGGAAGGATGCAAAGACGGAGGCAGGTCTGTGAGGAGAGAACTAGTGGGGAGAGCGGAGCAATGCTGGGTCCAGAACGACACAAACAATGGCAGTACAGAGCACACAGGGCATTTTTTGGTCTAGTTTAGCACTGCAAAAAGGGGTGAAGCAGGAGGTGAACTCTGTAACGAAGGACAGAGGTTGTGTTGGACCAAACTCAAGACAGGAATGTTTCTCTAGAGGACACGTCCTGCAGGAGAGSACAGAGTAGCAGCACTGCAGTAGAAAGGAGGAGCTGTGCAAAGAGCGCAGTCTTCAAAAAACAAGCATCACATACAGGAGGGCTTCACTGGGAAAACCCAAACTATACATATATAGGTCTGCAAGATTCCCATGCACTTCGAGACAACACAGTCCAGGTAAACAAGCAATGGTAGAAAATAATCTAATGTTGGCTGAACTCTGCCCACCAGTGTGCATTGCCCAGCCCTGGTGATACAGATACCCATAGGACAGTGAACTGTTAGGGCCTGAACCACAGGCCCAAGTCAGGRTTGACTTACAGCTGAATACGCCTCTGCTTTCTCAGAAGCACACAGAACTTGCTGTAAATTGCTTATGCTAATCTGCCCATGTAGGCTCACAAAACTGTAACTTTTGTAGATTCTCAGGCAAGCGTTTTTGACCTTGAAGGGAACTTCCCCATCCGAAACCAAGGCTCTGGCCAGGTCCTGGTGCCAGATGATAAGGAAAGTAGGACATACCAGACATTACCATTAACAAAGACTTTCAAAGACATTAACAAAGAAAATGCAAGTTTTGCTGATTTGATTTTATAAAAGCTGGACCCTCTTACAGCGACTTTGGAGACCTCACTTATGGGTGGATGCACCACGTAAGACCTCCCAATTGCTGGAAAGGCTCCAAATCCTCACTGCAACAGGGGCTCCCCAGCGACTGTGGATCTGGATGATGGTAAAGTATTTGGGCAATTGGTGATGTATCTTTTTCTTAAACACTATTCTCTCTCTTGTATAGTAATGGTTAAATACACTACCTTGCTTATTTTGTCCATATTTACAACTCAGCGCATAGTAAGCTTATTGTTTCATTAAATGCATCATTTCATTTCTGTATTATTTGATATTAATAGTAAACACACTGTTCTTTCCCTTGATATCTGGTTATTTCCACCGCCCCCCATCAATTGACAAAACAGATAGCTTGTGCCACTGGGCTCTATCATTGCAGGTACTTTTGAGTCTTACCTCCTAAATAAATAAATAAATAAATAAATAAATAAATAAATAAAGACGTGACTACCTTATATTTAATTAAAGTGGCACAAATCCCCATATCGTTGTGAGCAACCTAAGTTAGGTTCTATGGACAATGGTATCGAAGTAAGGAGAATTCATACTTGTATTTGAAAATCTTTAAGTAACTTAATTTAAAATTACTTAAAATTACACATTTCACATTAGTGAAATTCTCTCTCAAACACAAGCCCTTCTTTAATAATTTAGTTATTTTTTCTCTCTCACTCTGCCATTCCATCAGTCCCAAATATCCAAAAGCCTCACACAAGATCATAACTTYGTACTTTAAATACATAAACCCATTTGAACTATTTTACACCCACCAGTTTATACCTTTACCTCAGTTCTGATTTATGTGTTTTTTTTTTTAACATTAGAATCACTTCTTTTTCTCTCCCCTCTCTCAGCCCACAGCGTCTGTTTATTAGCACACAGGAATGTGATTCAATTCAGACTGCTAAAAATCAGCAGCACTTGACACACATTACTGTCACTGAATAGTGTAAGTGTCCCTTTTTCTTCAGTGAGCAAAAACTTCCCYGGACTAGCAGTATGAAAATTTGCCATTGACTTCTGGAAACTATACAGTGCAAAGAATAAGATCTTACCACCCACAGTTTGCACTCAGACTACTGGGGAAAATAATGAAATGCTCAGCAATATGAATGTATTTCACATGTCTTTTGTTCTTGGCTCTTATGTATTCTTTGCATTATGGTAGTGTCTAAATCCCACTGAAAGAAGAGAGCTTCACTGCAACAGGTAGCACAGAAGTGGGCATGATGTGTGTTGGTTATCACAGGAATGTTTGGGTAAATCTAAGGGATGTGACTTGGGAAGAAACTGAACTATGACAGCAATGTGGAATAAGGAAAAGGGGGAAGAGTTGCCCTGTGCCAAACTCAGCAGATCTACCCCTAAGGACAGTCCTCCCTCCGCCACAGAGCTCTTCTCAAAACAACATTCCCTGTGGTTCAGGCCTCCCGCACATCCTGCCCTCCCACAGACCTCGGAAAGATCCTGCCCTCCAGCTGGTGCCCACAGGAGTGCATGGGAGAGCAATCCTTCCCTTCACACTGCCAGCACGTCTGCAGCTTTACAGCGTCCCCTGGTGCCGAACACCAAAATCAGACATGAGGAGAAGCACCCAAGCCTTCAAGTGGACATTATTGCTTTACACAGACTGTCATAAAATTATTCTCTAATGAAAAGAGCCCGATAATGAAGCCCTGAGAACTGCCCGCTAGGTTGATCAGCTCCTGAGTACCTGAGCAGAGGTAAAAGGGCCCCMAAATGACGGGATCCTTCCATTTCCAGGAAAGACCCACAGCAGGGTACAAACCCTGCAGGGCTGCAGTTCGCAGGTAACTCTTATTTTTCTCAGCCAAACTCTGTTGTGGGCTCTCAGTCAACATCAGCTCTAATGAAATATCTCTGTAAGTTTATTTAAATAACCAACCAACCAACCAACCAACCAACAAAACTGGACTGGTAAATTGGCTGCTTGAAACTTCCCTAGCTCAGTTCAGCACAGCACCAGTGCCCACTGCTGAACTATTCGTTTGAAAAAAGAAAGTGTGACTTTATTCGATCACTGAAGTCTTTTGTCATGGTCCTCGCTGGTTAGTTGTGCTGCCCACGAGTGAGCTCTGAACCGGTACTGCTGAACATTTGCTCCTGTTTTACCCAGGCGATGATTTACCCATCGCCTGACTGCTCTGAATCCCCATTTCACCGGACACGTCAGCGCGTTAATTTTAGAGAGTAAATGTATGTATATACAAAGCCATGTGCATACAGGAATCATAAATGTAACAAGAATACAGTGCCTCCGGGCGTATACACGCTGCCACGACGCCCCTGCCCGCCGAGCGGGCGGAGCCGGCGCAATCCCCGCCCCGGAGCCGCTGTSAGCGCCGTTCCCGCCCCTGTCACCGCCCTGGTGCCGGTGCCGCCCCGGTGTCAGTGCCGGTGCCGCCCCTGGCCCCGGTGCCGCCCCGCCGCAGCCGGTGGCTGTTGCGCGACA